TTTTCTCGGACCTTTAAGGGAAAACCCTATCTAATGCCTTTTGTGCCATGTGTCTAGTCCTTCTAGAAGTACCCGTACTTTTTGACACCTGAGAAGCAGCTATATATATATAATAAAATTTGAGAAGGCATTATATGTTCATTATCATTATTGTTAATATTAAGAGACAAAATTTCACGTTTCACAAAAAGGCATTTAAAACTCTAACGTACTAGATCTGGTAAACATTTGAGCGAAAATTCTTAATATTTACATAAAACCTCAAATGAAAAATATTTTTAGAATTTGAAAGTAATAAAGGTGTTTGAAAGGTACTATACCTAATTCCTGAAATAGATCATATTTATGGCATAATTAGTTTCTTTTATGAATGGATTTTATTAAACGTTGTTGTATTAATAATAAAATAAACAACCAATTTCGGTATGCTTCACCTCAATAACTAATTCCATAGTTAAATTTAAAGTGAAATAAACCATAATGAACTTTAAAACTTCTTTAAAACAACCCTTGCAAAGGAAATAAGATGACAGATCGGAAATATGTTTTAAGATACGACGTGTGAAACTCTATTCATATTTCGCTTTTTGTGCCTATTAATTTCGCTAAATAATAACCGGTTGGAGATGAAATTTAAAAAATTGTTTAAGTTTCTTCGAAAAAAAATTAATAGGCACGTTTCGTAGTAATTACTATTTAAATAAATTCAATTATTGCAGAAGTAAATTAGATGATGGATAGAAATTAATTAATGAGAATGAGCAAGTGATAAAAAAGGCTTATTACTTCTTATAAATCAAAAATAAATCAAAAATAAATTCTAAATTTATATGGAGTTTAAATGGAAGTTGCGTTGGAATTTATTTGTATGAAGGAAATTAATCAATATTTTTGGCTCTATTGATTCTACATATTTTTTGAAAATTAGAATTTAAATTTCAAAAAAATCGGTTGGTAAATTCCATCTGAAAAATGCATTTAAAAAAAGGAAAAATTGCTATTTTTAGCGCAGACAACCTTTCCTGTCTTCCAAATGGAAGGGTACTGAATTACGGAGTAAAACTTTTGAATAAAAATAGAATTTAAAAATATATTGAAGAAAAAAGCAAAAAAATAATAATTTCACAAAAAAAAAAATAAAAAAATATTTCAATCGGCATGCTTCGAAAACAAAAAACATTAAGAATTGTTTCTGTATTTTTTTCCGATTCAAAATTTCGGAAAATATTTTCAGCTTGGAGGTCTAGGTATATATGGCATTAACTCAACTAGTAAATCCGAAGAGGTATCAACATTATCATTCTTATTCAAAATGTTTATATTTAAATACATATTGATATTATATTAAAACGAGAAAAAAAGTACAGTTGACCTTGTCAACTCTGTGATACCCGTACGAATTTGTTATCCTATGAGCGAATAACTAATGTGTCATAAATAACTATGGGGCAGACTATGACTTTAAGTTGCCGTATTACCATATTAATTTATGCAAAATTTCAGTACTATGTGTTTTTCAAAATACTGGTTGTGCCAAACTACTATTGAAGTTGTATGCAGCTACCAGAAAGAGCCAAGAAATTTTCGCGAATTTTATCAAGCACATCGGCCCTACTAATGTATTCACTTGTGTGAAATCTCAATATCACAGCTTTTATAGTTTCTGAGATATAGCCAAATAACTTTTGAAGTTGTATGGCAGGTACCAGAAGGAGCCAAGTAATTTCAACGACTTTTATGAGACACATTCGCCTTACTAATGTATTCATTTGTGTGAAATTTCAATACCATAGCTTTAATAGTTTCTGAAATATAGTCAAATAACTTTTGAAGTTTTATGGCAGGTACTAGAAGGAGCCAAGAAATTTCAACGACTTTTATGAGACACATTGGCCCTGCGTTTCATACGCTTTTTAAAGTCTTAAAACACAGACAACAAAGAAATCGGTCTGCAATTATTGATATTAATCGTATCACTACTAATGTATTCGTTTGTGTGAAATTTCAATACCACAACTTTTATAGTTTCTGAGATATAGCCAAATAAATTTTGAAGTTGTATGGCAGCTACCCGAACCGGTACCCCGATCATGTCCAATTTAAATAGGGTTCTGACACTTACTACCATAAATCATTTGTGAAAATTTGGTGAACTTAGCTCAATTAGTTTTTGAGTTATCGTTCGGACGGACGGACGGACAAAGCTAAATCAACTCAGAATTTGACGCTGATCAAAAACATACACTTAAGTCTATATCTAACACCGTTATTTCTTAGCGTTACAAACGGTAAGGCAAATTTAGTATACCCTTCGAACATACGTTCGTACGGGTATAATAAAGAGACGAGTCCTGTGTAATTAACGCTATAAGACCTGATGATCTACAAGATCAAATGCCTTAGTAATATCACCTTAAAGAGCAGAAATAAAATAACCAATATTGAGGTACTCATAAATTTCAGTGTAGAACCTAAGTAAAACCTACTTAGTAGATTTCCGTTGTGAAAATCCAAACTAGAAATCACTAAAATATTTGACTTTATCAAGGAAGGAAACAATTCTGCGTTTCATACGCTTTTTAAAGTCTTAAAAGACAGACAACAAAGAAATCGGTCTGCAATTATTGATATTTATCGTATCACCCTTGCTAAAAAGAGACAATACCTCTGCAACTTTTAACTTGAAAGGAAATATACCCTTAAAAACACAAATGTTAAATATAATTATGTAAGTTGGAATATCTATGACCTGAAAAGTATTTTTTTTAAAATGAAGTTAGAAAAGCCTATGAAGGCTTTACAAAAATTTTTAAAGCGGTACGTCACTGGTTCGAGTCCAGCTCGAGGAGAAAAATTTTTTAATTAATTTTTTTGCCTTTAACTCGTTCCTTTGATTACGCCATCCATCTGTTCTGCAGTTGCATGAAGAAATTTCTCTTAAGTTAAATTATAATTGACATATATTTAATTGACATCAAATAATCAATATTTTTGCACACAACAAAATATTTCCAATTAAAATTCTTATTGTAAGCAGTTCATCAAAAGAAAACCAAAATTTTCGAAATTTACTTAGTTTTGCAAAAAAGGAATATTATTAAAAAGGTAAATATTTCCTCTTCCAATCATAAAATTAGAATTGTGCTTTGACATTGGAGAAATTTTACCACACAATATAAAAACATCGGTTAATTGTGGCCAATTCGTGAAAAAATTCATATAAAATCGCTAAACTAAAATTTCCTAATATAAAACCCACTAAATTAAAATTATTAAGGGCGAATTAAGTTGTATTACCTTAGACATGATTGATATTGGTACTGCATTTACCAATATCAATAGTGACTTCCAAGTCATATTGATATTGGTAAATGTCATACAAATCGTACTATCCATAATACGATTTATAACATCTAGTAATTTATACGAGTAGAATTGCGCGTTTAAAATTTTGTTACCTTCTTGAAAGAAATTTAAGGGCTTTTTAAAGAAACAGTTAATACGGTCCTGCAATTAATAAAAATGAAATCGTAAAGATATTTAGTAAATAAAGTTGGGTCAAACCAATGGTTTGTATTGTAGCACTTTTCCCTTCAACAAGTGAAAATTCTGCTTTTAAATACAGTCTATGTATACCTATCACACTATTAAAATTATTTTCATTCATATACAAAACTATTTCTAGGATTGCATATATTTAGGATGACGCATATATGCAGTCTTTGAAATAAAGCAAAAATTAATATAAAAAAGGGTTAACATAATGCTCGATTTTAGGGGTTAATTGTGTGAGTTAAGAAAAATAATTATATTTTTTAATTTCATTGAATTTACCGTTAGCTTTTTGCGTTTATAGAAATTTGAAAAATCTTGCGGTTTCGGAAATATAAAGCGTCAAAATTCAAATTTTACAAATTTCAAGAGGCGATAACTTGAGAAGGGGTGGAGATGGAAAAAAATTTTCTTCTAACGAAATGAACTAATTATTAATGTCTAAAAGCTCCTAAAATTTCAAGCTTCTACAGGCTGGGGTCTAGAAAAAAAACGACATCAAAAATTTGGAAAAAAAGGACTTTAGATAAATTTGAACGGCCATTTTGTTTTTCTAAAGTTTAACTATAGTATACCACGCTAGGGGAAGCAAGCCGCTGCCTTTCTGCGTTTGTAAAATTTCAAAAATGCTTATGGTTTCTTTGCAACAAATAGTTAAAAAAGGCCACTTTTAGGGTTTTGGGGGGGTATAACTTCTAGAGGGGGGGAGATAGGTAGAAATTTTGTTCTACGGAAATAAGTTTCTAGTAAAGATCTATGTACCTATAAAATTTCAGCTTTCTATCTTCAAGGGTGTAGAAGTTTTGTAAACAAAAAAGTGTCCAAGAACGGACGGACGGACGGACGAACAGAGTGAAACTAATAAGCACTTTTTTCAAAAAATTTTTTGGAAAAGTGCTAAAAACAAATATTCGGTAATCTATGTAATAATAAATTTGAAAATATAAGGAAAACATAATCTTTCTAAAAAAAATAATAGAAGAAATTAGGTACTACCAAGTACTGTAAAGAAGTAGAGATCATCAATTTCGCCATTTGGTAGCTCTTATTTTATTGTTTTGCCAAAAGTTCTATTAAACATACAAACCAGTTTTTAAATAACTTTGATCATTCTTTAATAATAACGTCGATCATTTGATAATTATTGTAATAACTTTACAATACGCTTAAGATTAATTTAATAGGGATAAAAAGTGCTATACTGTAGAGAAGCTGGAAGCTTTCTTACAACATTAGGAAAAAACCTAGATTTTTAAAAATTTAAAAAGCGTAATATCACATAAAGTGCGGTTGAAAAGGAAATACAAAAATATTTCTGCTAATTGTTAAACTTCGTTATTCAAAAATTAATTAACTTATTCATTTTGTGTTTGAATATTTGATTTGGCTTAGTTTTATTTTACTTTATGAAGATATGATAAAAATTAATAAATAAATGGTTTACTTACTGAAGAATTCAAAAGATCTGACAGTCTAGCTGAAACTTCTTGACCCCGCTTTGGTCGAATCAACAAATATATATTCTTTATTTCAGAGCAGGACCGCAAAAGTTTCTCAACCAATACCTGAAAATTAAAAATTTTTATTCAGAAAAAAATTTTGATTTTGAATTATGTATATACAAAATTTATTTTTAAAAATTTATTATGGTTGTCTAAATGTTATAAATAAAAACAGACGTGAAATACGCTTAGCCATCTGTTTTCTTAAAAAAAATTGCTGACGCGTTTGCAATTTTTTTGCAGAATTATTAATAATATAAAAGTTAAATAAAACAGGTTTTGAATAACAAAATGTAATAATAACAAAAAAAGAAAAAAACGTATCAACTCTGTGATACCCTATGTGCGAATAAATATGCCACAGCTAACTATGGAACAGATTATTACTTTAAGTTACCGTATCACCATATTAATTTATGCAAAATATCAGTATTGTGTTTTAAATATTTTCTAAGATATGGCTAAAGTACTACTTAAGTTGTATGGCTGCTACCACAAAGAGCCAAGCAATTTCAATGACTTTTATCAAACACATATCCTTATTAATATATTCGTTTGTGTGAAATTCAATATCACAGCTTTTATATAATTTCTGAGATATAGTCAAATAACTTTTGAAGTTGTTTGAAAATTTGGTGAAATTAGCTCAATGAAGTTGGGACGGATGAACGGGCAGGCAAACCTAAATCGACTCAGAATTCGACTCTGATCAAAAACACACGCTTGAGTCTATATCTCAGATCATTAATTTTTAGTGGTAAGGCAAATTTAGATCACCCTTCGAACAATCTGACTAAATACTAAATGTGGTCACTAAATAACCACAATGTATATTGTCTAGATTAGTAAAATTATTCCGGAAGATTATGAAAATGCAATTTGAACACTACTTTACAATTTTAAGGTCGCTTTTAAGCTTACAGTTAACATTTCTAAAAAAATGTTGATTCAGCTCTTAGGGGAGTTTGATTTTTTGCCAACCGAATTATACGTAAAGTTCGTTAGTAACTTCGGGTACCAATCTGAACTCAAATATTAAATTTCAAAAAATTCCACCAATCCCTTCCGTAGATATGGTAAAAAATGTAAAATCAGCCGCCAGATCAATTTCCGAGCCTTAATTTTTCCAAACAATTTACAGATTCATTGTTTTAACACCTCGACTTTAAATATTAAATTTCAATGAAATCGGTTCAATATTTTTCTCTATATACGCAAAAATGTATATGTGGTCCGTAGTAAATGTCCAGTTGCTGACAGCTGATTACTTTCAAAAGTTAGGAGGTTTCGCGGACAGTCGAGCGAAGCTTATACATATATGATATTTCAAGTAAATCGGTTGAATATTTTTTCAAAATGGTGAAAAATGTAAAACAGGCCCGCTGAAAAGTGCAGTTCCTGAGGCCGGATATATCCCGAAAGTTGATCAATCCGTGCCATGCTCGAAATAAACTTACATGTAAAATTTTTTTTCTTTATTTATAAATTCAAACATAAAGAAAATAAATATACAGATATACATTCATTGAAAAATAAATAATCTTTGATCCCAGTTTAGCCGATTTGATCAAAAAATTATATTAGAAATAGTATACAAATTAATTTAACTTAATGGAAATTTCTTCATGCAACTGCAGAACAGACGGATGACGTAATCAAAGGAACAAGTTAAAGGCAGAAAAATTAATTAAAAAATTTTTTTCCTCGAACTGGACTCGAACCAGTGATCTACCGCTTTCTAGGCGGACGCTCTACCAACTGAGCTACAGAGGCATGAAGAAATCGCCGACGAAATGTTCTCTACATTGCTTTATACTGTAATCCACATGATTACTAAAAATTTGTTTTGTTTACATTGACTACTACATACAAAAGCAAAGTATTGGTTAGTAATGGATATGCAATTTATGCAGGTAAAGTCTCATCAAAATCGGTTCAGCCGAACTTGAGATACACGCGTGCAAGTTATATATCCGACCAATGAGATTTTATCCAGAATAATAGAACTAAATTATATTAGTCCTAAAAGTAAAAAAACATAAAATTTATTATATGATTCTTAAAATTTCCACTTAAACAATTTTATGACTTATTTAAATTCAAACATAAGAATCATAATTTCTGATTTCTTCTTTTTTATTGTTATTTCTTATTATTATTCTTATTGTTATTTCTTAAGTGCTTGACCTATCCTAATTTTGAACAAACAATTAAAATATAAAACACTAAATTTCAACACATTTATTTTTCAAGTTCATTAACTGAAATATTAAATTACATAAAAACGAAAACATGAAATTACATACATATATTTTTCGTTCATTAAAATTGAAGGATCATATTATAAAACGGCAAAATGAAAATTTGTTTCACAATTTCCTTTTCAAGTGCAACAACCAAATTTATTGCATTTGAAAAGAAGAATATCAGGCCTCGGGAACTGCACTTTTTAGTGGGCCTGTTTTACATTTTTGACCATTTTAAAGAAAGTATTCAACCGATTCGCTTGAAATTTCATATATAAGCTTCGCTCGACCGTTCGCGAAACCTCCTAACTTTTGGAAGAAATCAGGCCTAAGCAAATAGACGTTTACTACGGGCCAAATATACATTTTTACGTATATAAAGAGAAATAATCAACCAATTTCATTTAAATTTAATTATGAATTCCTCGTATTAAAACAATGAACATATAAATTTTTTGGAAAGATCAAGGCTCGAAAATTGATCTGCGGGCCGATTTTACATTTTTCACCATATCTACGGAACGAATTGATGGAATTTCTCGAAATTGATATTTGAGCTCTGGCTGATACCGAAACTAACTGGCGAGCATTTCAGGGAATTCGGGTAGCACAAAGCGAAGCTCTACTAAGAGCCAAATTTACATTTTTCTAGGTATGTTAACTATAAGCTTACTAATGTTCTAAAAATTGGGAAGAAGTGTTTAACAGACATTTTTATAATATTCTGTAACATTTTCATTTAACTAGACAATACAGAATGCGGTCGGTTATGTGCTGACCACATCAGATTTTTTTTTCTTGTCTTAATAAATTAATGTTACTATGCAAGAAATTTAACAAAAATCGATTTGATTTTTGAATACTTTTGCAATAAGATTTTAGAAAGTAAAAAGTTTAACATTTGGTTTCACCGAGTTTGGTAATAAAAGGTTAAATAAAAGAATAAAATAAATTCCTTTTATTTGTTTCATTTTCTTTAAATAAAATTAGTACTTAAAAAGTAACATACAAAATTTGCATACACAGACCGACAGACGAACGGTACACAAAAATAAGAGAGATCAATTAAATTAAACTTAATAATCTATATACAGATCTTACATACACAAAGCCTTATACATAATATATGTAAAAATATTTTGAAAATAAAAAAGCTAAAGAACTTAGAAAATTTTGTAAACATTTTATAAATTTCCAAAAAAAAACTTTAGAAAAAAATAATTATAAAAAAAGAAATGTGGTGTGGTCAGCATATAACCGACCGCAATATATATTATCTAGTTTAATGAAAGTGTTACAGAAGATTAAAAACTTAAAATTACATACATATGTATATTTAAAAAGAAAGATAAAAATATATCAACATTTTTTTTTGCATCACAATAATATTTTCTACTCGGATTTTCAAAAATACATAGTTTTGAATTTTTGTTCCATACTAACATATTGTTGACTGAGAATTATTTCAGTCCATTAGCCATTTTTCCATTTAGTCCATTTGACATTTTTAAACTGAGTATATGGTAACGGGTTTCTAAATAAAATTTGAGTTTTCGAAATAAGTTAAGAATTATTTTATTCCATATTTCTAGCTGAAATAGGTATCTATTGGCATGGAGTAACATAAAACTAAATTTATAAAATCGTTGTTATATTTCACGCCTATATAAAATGTATATTAAGTTTTAAAGTTGCTCATATAATATCAGTATTGTTTTTGCTTTCAAAGTGAACAGAAGTGTATGTCGAGACATGTCGTTACCGGCGCCTGATATATCGAAGTGTTTGGAAAAGTAAGTACAATATGAATTCTAAAATGGGATTTAAAAAAAATTAATGTGACGCAAATAAAAATAATAACTATATTTTAATATATTATATATAAATATAATATATAAAATACATAGTTTAAAAATATATTAATAATATTGTGCTTTAATTTTTGTGTAATTACCTATAGAATGATTGATGAAATATTTGATAGTGGGGAAAAAGTAAATAAAAACAAGTAAAAACGTTTCAGTCGGTATAAACCGATTGAATTATACACTGCACTTTTCATTGTTTTATAGCAATTACTCGAACCTGTGAAACCATTCTATAGAAGCTTCACAAAACTTATAATTGGACACATAACTGCCAAATTTCATTAATCTGACTTAATTATTTTTCCAAATATTTAAAATTAGCTTTTGGACACGTATGGAAGCTACTCGAACCTGTCAAGCAATTCCACCAAAACGTTACAAGTATATCTGACCTTTAATTCGACACATAGGGCCAAGTTTCATTAATCTGACTTAACTATTTTTCCAACTACTTAAAATTAAGTTTTGGACTCGTATGCAGCTACCCGAACTGGTATTAGTCATCTCATTAAAATTTTAAGAGCGTGTGTAGAATATAATTGGATACATGTATACAAAATGTCATATTTATACCTTTATTAGTTTATGAAATATTTAAAATAAACTCTTTAAGTTGTATGGCACCTGCCCGAATCCGCTGTACGAATTGGCCCAGTTACAATAGTTTTCTTCCTTGGCACAAAAGAAACAACTTGTGAAAGTTTGGTGTTGGTTGCATTATTCGATTTTGAGTTATCATGTGATCGAACGAAAAAATGGACAGACGTGCTTAAATCAACGCAGAATTTTACGCCGAGCAAGAATATATATATATGTCCATACCGGAGACGGCTCCTTGAAGTGGTTACAAACTCCATACTAAATTAATATACCCTTAAGAAGGAGCAGGGTATAAATAAAAAAATAACAAAATTTTATGTTATATCACATTTTTAATTTTTAAAA